GTCTGTTGGCCATTTGGATGTCTTCTTTGGAAAAATGTCTGTTCATGTCTTCTGCCCATTTCCTGATTGGATTATTTGTTCTTTGGGTGTTGAGTTTGATAAGTTCTTTATAGATTTTGGATACTAGGAGGGCAGGACACTCTTATTTACTGTCTACTCAGAACCAGGCTCTGGGCTGACTTGGGATCTAAACCCAGCTTGATGGCTGCCATCCTGCCACTTCTGGTCACCCTGCTCCAGCTTAAGCTCTGGGTGTGCCTCTTCCCACTTCTTGGGTGTGAATAAAAGAGTCATTTGGGTTGTCATGAGTACTTTCTTGGGTAACTTTATTTTATTTTTCTTTTAGCCCTTGTAAAAATTATAAAAAGGTGTTTTACATGGGGAAACTGGACTCTGTTTGGTGATGCTCCTGAAACTAATATGGGTAATTCTAAATTTTGATATAATTTCAATGTGATGTAATTTAATTTGATAATTCCAAACTTAGAGAAAAATTGCAAGTATTTTATTTCTTTTTGAAGATTTTATTTATTTGACTGAGAGATAGAGCACAAGTAGGCAGAGTGGCAGGCAGAGGGGGAGGGAGAAGCAGGCTCCCCGCTGAGCAGGGAGCACAATGTGGGATTCCATCCCAGGACCCTGGGATCATGACCTGAGCCGAAGGCAGATGCTTAATGACTGAGCCTCCCAGGCGCCCCTGTGCTCACTTTGTAAAACACAGAGACTTAAGTTTTTTAGAACAGTTTTTGATTTATGGAAAAGTTGAGAAGACACTGTAGACAGCTCCCAAATACCTGCACACAATTTCCTGATGATTAATATCTTATATGAATATGACAGATTTTTTACAATTGATGAACCTTTCTTGATATATTACTGTGAGCTCAGTGCCCTTTCTCTGTTCCAGGAATACATGTCCACTTTGATGGTTTTTATTATCGTTATCGTTTTTGTTGTCATAGACACTCAGCAAACAGCTCTCCCCAGTCCTTCCCTTTCCAGGTAGGCGCCATCCAGATGGCAAAACCTGTTCCTAGGGTTCCCGTTACTAGGGTTTCCTAGTAAAAGGCCACACTGTAGCTCAGGAGACAGAGGTAAACCTGAAGGCTGGGTCCTGCCCCAGACCTGAGGGCCCCTTGGGTGGGGTGGTGGGATTGGGGGTCTGTGTCAGGCTGATCAGGGGTGGCGTGTGCCATGGGAGCAATCTGGGGGACTCACATTGCAGTCAAAGCAACAGGTTTGAAGTTTCTGTTGAGCAACAAACCATTGTCTAGCAATTGCTTCCTGATGAATCAGAGGTTTCTTCACTTGAGGCTGAAGATAAAGCCTGGAGTGCATTATAAAAACCTCCCTGGCTCAGTACTCCTCACCGGCGCTGGCTTTTTGCTACATTTCTACTCTCCTGCACACTGAAGGGTAAGTGTCCTGTCCTTGGCTATGGGAGGTGCACAGGGTAGTGACTGCAGGTAGCGATTGCAGGCTGTTGGAAGCCACAACCTTGTGCTTGCCAGAGCACCTCCGGACTGACTGCATCTTGGACTCCAGGAGACCAGCCCTTGCTGTGTTAGGTAGACCCAGTCTCAGGACATAGGGGTGGTGAAGGTGGAAGGGGCTGGTGACTGTCTGTAGGAGACCTGTGGCCAAAGTGCCGTCACCTGGGGAAAGGGAACAGCCTGGCCAGCCACCAAACCTTTCCTGGGTGTGCTTGAGTGGAACGGCACCTTCTGAATTATACTGCCTAGGACATGGGGGGACATGGAACACTCTGGCAATGGGGGCTGAATCTTTTAGACTTTACACAACATTACATGTCCCCCCCCCAGCCTATCTACAAATGACACAGTCACCACAGATCAGAACAGAGAGAATGCAAAGCAGATGTGGGGGAAGTCATCCCTTGTGAGGAGAGAGGGGAATGGGGGTGGGCGGGAGAGGAACTGCCCCAGACCTTCCGTGTCTCCTGAAGGTTGAGAAGATGACTAAGCTGGAGGACCATCTGGAGGGGATCATCAATGTCTTCCACCAGTACTCAGTCCGAGTGGGGCATTATGACAAGCTTTCCAAGGGTGAGATGAAGCAGCTGATCACAAGGGAACTTCCAAACACCCTCCAGGTAGGCGATGCCCCTCGCATCCAAACTCGCCCACTGAAGGGCTAGGCTGGGGTCGGCCCGAGGATGCTCTCTTGAGCTATTGGACAGGGGGTCTGCCTCCCTCTCTCCATAACTCACTCTGGCACCTCAGGCTCTATTCACCTCTCTCTCTGTGATTATTCCCTCACCTGTGGGGATTAGTGAGCTACAGAGACCTTCCAGGTCGAGACTTGTGTGGCTCTAGGGTAGCTCATGATAGCTGCTTCCCTCTGTTTTCTGTTTTGTCACGTTGGATTCTTCAACACAGTTTTGGCGAATGAGCTGATGTCCCTGGGCCTCCCTGAGCTGAGCTCTGAGGGATGAGAGGCCTGGAGAAAGGGGAGGAAGCGTCTGAGCTCACTGTCTCTGATGTCCCCTTCTAGAACACCAAAGAACAAGCTACCATTGACAAAATATTCCAAGAACTGGATGCTGATAAAGATGGAGAGGTCACCTTTAAAGAATTTGTATCTCTCATAGTCAGTGTGCTAGTGACTGCCCATGACGATATCCACAAGGAATAGGAAGCTCTGAGGGGCTTTTCTCCAGCAACGTCCCCAAGAAGATCTCTCCTTGTAATCACTGAAGCCCAGCCCTGCGCACGGGAAGTGAGAGTTAATAAATGTGTTCTCAAAAAGTTCTTAATAGTGTGCACTTTCTTTCTTTCCATGTCCACGGTCCCCAAAGTGGAGCATACCTCACCCATGCGATTCTGACAGACCTCATGTAGAGCTTTGGGCCCCCCCCCTTATCTGTTTGTCCATTTGTTCACCAACTATTTAATGTCCACTGTTTGGCTCCTTTATTCATTCATTCAACTAATATTGACTGAACATCTGTGATAGCCAGAGACCAAAAACACAAAACTCTGTCCACCTGGGGCTTGTGTTCTACTGGGGAGGGATAGCAAACAAACAGACAAACAAATAAAAGCACATCCTATGATACAAGGGTAGGCAATGATAAGTGGTATGAACAAAGCTAAAGAGGGAAGTAAGGTTGGGGTGGAAGGGAAAGGAGAGGCACCTGGGCTTAGTGTGATGCTGGAAGAATGCATTTGGGCAGAAATCCAAGAGAGGAGGGAGACCAGCTTGCAGATATCTGGGCCAAGAGTTCTGGGCAGAGAGAGGCCAAGGCCCTGAGGTGGGCACACACTTGACCTGTTCAAAAAAAAAAAAACAGCACAAAAGGCAACGTGCAGGAACCGAGGTGGGGAGGGGCAGGTGGTGTGCACCTCTGTGAAGCAGGGAGCAGGGGTTCACAGACCTTGGGGCAGACTTTGGATTTTAAGTGTGCTAAAGACCCACTGGGTGGACTCGAGCAAGGGAGCGAGATGATTTCATTTATGTTTCAAAAGGATCACTCTGGCTGCCTTTGTGGAGAAGAAACTGTAGAAGGCAGACCCCAGAGTGCAAGCAAGGAGAACAGTGCGGAGGGATCAAGCGGTCGGACACAAAGGACTGTCAGAACCGCAGGACCGAGAGACTGGACCTGTTCTCTGCAGCATCTTGCCATCAGCCTCCTGCACACTACTCTGGGTTCTGGTCTCTAGCTGTTCTGGAACGTTCTCCAGTTTCCTTGTGAACTGTCAGACATTTTGGATTCTGCACCTGCTGGGCTATTGTCCTCTTTGTCTGAAGCGGCCTCTTGCCCCTTTAAGGCATCTACTCTGTTTTAGGCACCAGATCACTGAGATCCAGATCTCTTGCTTGCCCACCAAGGCCCAACCCAATTGTTGCATCTGCCGGGGAGCTCACCCCCTTACATCCCTCACATGTTTTCACCCTCCCATCCACAGTAGATTCATGGAACTCTGGGGCTTGCCTGACCATCAGGATTAGTCTGACAGAGTGCTCTGGGCAAAGGTGTTATTATTCGATAAGGCACACCAAAACCACTGTCTCGGGTGCAACACCTTGCCCTTCAGAAAGACATCTCAGGCCGGCCGTTGGCATGCTGCAAGCCAAGCCACGCCAAGCCAAGCCAAGCCAACGTGCATATTGGGACTTTGGAAATCAGGAAAGGATGTAATTCAATGGGATGGCTACGAGGAGCTTAGTGCAAAAATGACTAGGACTCAACATTTTAACGTGGCCAATATAAAAAGTTATCAGGTCAAAAGAAAGCAAACTAGACTATGCTTCTCTGATTTCTCTGACTAGCCGACACAGTGCTGGGCACACAGCAGCTCAGCTCTTGCCCTTTCAAAACTCACCTTGGCATTAATCTGCGGGTGCTTACCTTGGTCTTTTCTCTCTCTCTTTCTGCCTCCACCCACGCCAAGAAAACAGGCAGAAGGTGGCTCCTCTGTGTCCCCAGGACACCTGTGGTTATTGTCCACCTTAGCTTTTCTTTGGCCCACACCATGATATTGAAAATATCTATTTGGGTGTTTGTTGCCCCCATTAGGCTGAGGGCTCCTGGAGGGCAGGGACCTAATTCTGTATTCGATATGAAGACTGGGCTCAGTGCCACAACCTCCTAGCTGCTCCCCACACTTCTACTCTGGACCCCGACCCTCCTCCACACAGCAGCCTGATGGCCTCCAAACACAAATCGTACTCTGTCACTTACCTGATTAAAACCCACCAGAAATTTTCCAAGACTTGCTATCTGGCCTCATTTCCATCACTGCTTCCCCAGGGAGGCCCTGCCTGTTGGTTTAGTGGAATCGAGTTAGTGTTTTCTAACTGACGGCCTGAACTGCTGGTCCAAAAAAGCAATGAGATGCTTGTGGTGGTGGTGGTAGGGGAGGATGGGGGCCCCATCACAGCCGGTTTTGGAGGTCTTGTGACGGGGTGGACTCCTCTCTCCCCCGACCTCAGCAATATTTGAAGGCAATTGTCATGACCTCCCCCTTGCTTCTTTTTTCCAGGCTCAAGACCTTCATACCCCATTATTAACAGTTGCTTCCAAAGCTGCACATGTTCTGCTTTGGAGGAGTCATCCCTGGCTAGATATGACCCTGAGCTACTTCTCAAAGGCATTGCCCTTCCTGGAAGCACCCCAGCTCCTTGCTGCACTGTACCTCACCCCCGAGACCAGGAGGGCAGAAAGCAGCAAGAGAGGAGAAGACTCAGAGAGAGAATGTAGACTGATGGAGGGAGGAGTGTGCAGCCTGGAGTAGGGGCAGGGGGAGGTGGGAGGAGGAGAGGAGGGGTGGACTGGAACTGGGCCCCATGCTGCTCCCTTAGGCCTTGGCCACAGTCCTCTGTCTCTCTGATCTGCACATGACAATTCTGGGTACATGGGCGAAAATGGGAAAACATGGGGGTGCTCCCAGGAAGAGGCCAGCTGGTCCTCCCAGGTGCTCATGTTCCCTGTGTCTTGTGTGTGTGAGGGGATCTTTGAGACAGGGTTTGGGACCCAATCAGGCCATGGAGCCAACTGGGGTCCTGGGGTGGAGGGACTGTTCCAGACCCAAGCCCCAAGAGGCAAGAGGACTTGAGCAACCATCTGTTTCAGCTCTGCTGTTACTTTGGTAATTGGAATGTCAAAATCCATGACACAGGGCTTTCTACAGCAACTCTGGGGAGGGCACGGGTGGGCGTGGAGGTTGGATTCTGGAGTTTTCCTCAGAGCAGGGTTTGTGTCAGGGTTGTGCAAAATTGCCTCACCAGGCTGGTGAAAGCGGAGTCCTTTCTTCCTGTCGAGGTCTTGGGAAACAGCACAGAATCACCCTCCTTATCCTGTAGGGTGTGGGGGGCAGGCTTGCCTGGCTGAGATGGGCCCTGCGTATGTGGAGATCCTGGCTGGACTTGTCTTCTCTGAGAAGTGCCATCTTGGGCTCTCTTAGCTCCCACCAGACTATCCGGCAGCCTCCTCACTGGCCCGGGCCCGCCGGCTCATTCTCACCCCAAATCCATCCCATAAACCACAGATAGAGAGACTAATTCACATCCCTCCCTAAAACCCCCACTGCTCCTGCCCTCCGTTCTGCTGAGGAGAGTGCAAGCTCCAGGCCTAGACGCTGGCCTGCTCACCTCTGCCTCTCCCACCCCCAGGCTCCTCGTTCCTGACCAGACCCCACACCTGCCCCCTTCCAGGCCTCATTCTGAGCTCCTGCATGTTTATCCGAGGGTGCCTGCAGTCGTGACATGGGTCTAATATTTGGCCTTCCAGTCTCTGCTCAAGGGTCACGTTCCTCCCTCAAAGTCCCACCAAACTTTACCCTCTCCAGCCTTTCATTTTCCATATTAAAAGCATTTGAGGAGCTGTGTTGTTTGCCCTGCAGGCCTGGGCTTCTTCATGACATAGGCCTTCTTTATCAGCACTGTGCCCCGTCCCCCGGCCCCCGCCAGCACGTTTGGAGCATTGTGAAGTGTCTGGTCAGATTCTACGTGTATGTGAAATCATATGTTATTTGTCTTTCTCTGTCTGACTTATTTCATCTAGCATAATACCCTCTAGGTCCATCCTTGTTGTTACACATGGGAAGATTTCATTCTGTTTTGTGGCTGAGTGATATTCTGTTGTGTACACACACCACATCTTCCTCATCTGTTCATCTATGGATGGACACTTAGGTTGTTTCTATACTGTGTCTATTGTAAATAATGTGGCAATAAATATGGGGGTGCGTATATCTTTTCGAATAAGTGTTTTTGTATTCTTCAGGGAAATACCTAGAAATAGAATCATGGTGATTCTATTTCTAATTTGTGAGGAACCTCCACACTGTTTTCCACAGTGGCTGTACCAATTTACATTCGTACCGACAGTGCACGAGGGTTCCTTTTTCTCCACATCCTCACCAACACTTGTTGTATCTTCTCTTTTTTAATTTAGTCATTCTGACAGGGGTGAGGTGATCTCTCACTGTGGTTTTGATTTGCATTTCCCTGATGCCGGGTGATGCTAAGCATGTTTTCATGTGTCTGGTGGCCATCTGGATGTCTTCTTTGGAGAAATGTCTATTCAGGTTCTTGGCCTATTTGAAATTCACTTGTTTTTTGGGTGTTGAGTTGTATGAGTTATTTAATATATTTTGGATATTAGTCCGCATCAGATATGTCATTTGCAAATATGTTCTACCATTCAGTAGGTTGCCTTTGTCTTGTTGACTGTTTCCTTCACTGTGCAAAACCTTCTTAATTTGATGTTGTCCCAATAGTTTATCTTTGCTTTTGTTTCCTTTGCCTGGGGAGATATATCCAGAAAAATATTGCTAAGGCTGATGTCCAAGAGTTTACTGCCTATGTTTTAGGAATTTTATGGTTTTGGGTTTCACATTTAGGTCTTTAATCCATTTCGTGTTTATTTCTGTGTACAGTGGTCCAGTTTCATTCCTCTGCATACAGCTGTCCAGTTTTCCCAGCACCATCTATTGAAGAGGTTGTCCTTTCCCCGTTGTATATTCTTGCCTCCTTTGTTGAAGATTAATTGACCATATAATCGTGGGTTTATTGTGGGGATCTCTAGTCTGTTCCATTGATCTATGTGTCTATTTTTGTGCCAGTACCATACTGTTTGGATTACTACAGCTTTGTGGTATTGTCTACAATCTGGGACTGTGATGCCTGCAGCTTTGTTCTTCTTTCTCAAGATGACTTTGGGTATTCAAGGTCTTTTGTGGTTCCATACAACTTTTAGGATTATTTACAGAACCCATTTTTTTTTGGAATGGAAGGGGCTGATGTGATGGAGGAGGCTAAATCACCTTCACCAGTTCTCCTAAAATCCCACAGGGCTCTCTAAAGGTGGCTTACTGTCAGACCTTCTCCTGGAGTCTAGAAATATGTCCTACTCCCAGACTGAGCTAGCAGAGAGAAGGCAAAAGGGAGAACTCTTGGCATCTATGAAACTCTGTCCCCTGCCATCTCGTCCCTCAGCTGCTCTGCCCTCTTCAGCAACCCCTCCGGCTCCCCAGGACCCTAGGACCACCCTATTTTCACTTGCTCAGCTGTAGTGCTTCATTCTGGCACCTGGGGATTTGAGGCAAATGAGTCGTAATTTCTGCCTTCAGGGCCATCATCAGACTTGATAAGGGCTTCCAAGTCTGTATTAGAAGTGCAATGGTTGAAGTATCAGAGAGTTCCACGGGCCTGGAGGGGTAAGCCCTTACATGTTTGCAGAAGATGGTGGTCAGGGACATCGTCAGGATGACAGCGACAGAGGCTCTGGGCCTTTACAGGTCCTAAGAGACTTGCTGGAGACCCCAGGGTGGTGAGAGCATTCCTGGTGCAAAGGTGAGGAGGCCGGAGAAAGCCTGGATATCATTTAGGGAAAATGCTTTGAAGAAGTGGATGGGTGGCTGCATGGTTGGAAGGGGTTAGATTTACTCTGTGTCCCCAAAGATGTGGGAGGGAAACTAGGATTCATACCCGGCAGGCATGAGGAGACAAATTCTGGTTTGGTGCGATGAAGAACCTTCCAAGTGTCAGTGCCACATTAGGAAACTCTCTTTCCAGGAGTTCAGGCTAGGCCACCAGCTGCTGGGGACGTTGGAGAGCGTCAATCAAGCATGGGGGTGGGGCAGGTTGGGTTTAATCAACAATTCTCAAACTATTTTCAAGACAAATCCCTTTTTTCAAAGGGAAGCTTCTAGTGTGCAACAGATAAAGGCTGGTATGACTGAATAAAGCAGGAGGGCGGGAGAGTGGGGGGTGGGTCTTCAGGTTCCCATCACCTTGCTGCCCCCTACCTTCCAGTTTGAGACTCATGATATCCACAAGCCTTCCATCTACCATTTCTAATCCCTCTTTTCTCCACACCACCCATGAGAGGGGAGCATGTGGGAAACTTTAGAACATCTGTACAGTGATTATCTGTTGAGAAGCTGCAGGTATCAGCCACCTCTCTGCGTGCTGGGGATAAAGCAGGGGTAAGCAGATGCCGCAGACTTGGCCCCCATGGAGTTCACAGTCTAATGGGGAGGCAGAGCCACAAACATATTTATGGCACATTGTGAAAAGGGAGGGTGGGCAGGGGGGTGGGGGTGCCTGCCCTACCCCGGGGCATCCCCAGGGCTCCCAACTCCCAGACTGGTTCTCTTTCTCCTACGAAGCTGCATCCCTAAGGTGGCTCCTCCCCGGTCATGAAGATCGGGGAGAAGGTCTATCAGAAGGTGAGTGTCCCCAGCTGTCATCTCCCTAAGTCAGGCAGGGAAGGGACTGGAGGCTTCTAAACTCTGCTCCCCAAGCTCACACAGCCTGGAGCAGTTCCTGGAAACACCCTCACCCTTATGCCCTCAAGTGGGAGCCATCAAATCCCTGTACCCACAGCAGAAGCCCCTGGACCCTTAGAGTAGAGGCCTGCACAGTCTGCCGGCAGACAGCCTGGGACCCAGCTACAGCCAGCCAGTGTGGGACAGTGGAAACCTGACCTTCTCCTTCTTTCTGCTCAGCAGTGGGGAAGGAGCTGGCACAGCCAACCCGTGGAGAAGATGGGATCTGAGGTCCTTTTGTCTCTGCACTATTTTTTTTTTTAAGATTTCATTTATTGGGGTGCTTGGGTGGCTCTGTCGGTTAAGGGTCTGCCTTCGGCTCAGGTCATGATCCCAGGGTCCTGGGACTGCTTCTCCCTTTCCTTCTGCCTGTTGCCCCACCCACTTGAGCTCTTTCTTTCTGAGAGAGAGAGAGAGAGCAAGCATGAACAGGTGGATGGGCAGAGGCAGAAGGGGAAGTGGGCTCCCTGCTGAGCAGGGACCCTGACTCGGGGATCGATCCCAGGACCCCATGACCTGAGCTGAAGGCAGATACTTAACCGACGGAGCCACCCACATGCCCCTCTGCACTACTTTGAGCATCTCCACCACTTTATGGCCTTGGACTGGTTCCTTCTCCATTCTGTCTCACTTTCTTCATTTGTGCAGGGATCTCTGGACCTGAAGTCCAACCTCCTCATGGTAGGTGTTGAGCGTTATAGCTGCAGGGACATGATTGGAGCTCATTCTTGCATCCAGCAGGTAGGGCTCTTCTCTCTCCGTCCTGCTGGCACTGGGTGGGCATGGGTCAGACTCCCCCACTTTTATCTGTTTCTGCACCTGCCCCAGTGCCCATCCATGATGAGGATGCTAGGTCTGTGAAGAGACGCTGATTTGCTCCCATGGATTCAGAACTCAATTTATGGGCAAACACACCCAATCCAGTACCCTTTCTTAGACACAGCCCATCTAGGTGCACCTCTGGGTAACTTCCAGAGGAATAAGGTCTCTTAGGAGACGACAGATGGTTGTGGAAGATGGTAGACAGCACTGGGTGAAAGTGGGGGTCAGGGCTGGGTGGGGGGTGGCCTGCATGTCGAGAGGACCTTTTGCTTTCTGTGGTGTTGAGGGCCAATTTGACAGGCAGTACAGGGAAGTCCTGAGCTAGACTGAGGTGACTGGGACCTGAGTAGTGGGGCCTAAGATCAGAGGTGAGGAAATGGTTAGGGAAGTGAGTCCAGGGGGCTTAAAACAGACCCACATTACTGTGGCTTCTCACTTTGTTATTACCAGATGAAGGGGTTGAGCAGTTAAGGGGCAGGGCCATGTACCACCCAGGCCCTCGGAAGGACAGGTTGGGAAGGGGGTTGTGGAAGAAGCACGCAGAGTGCTGGCTTGGAGGAAGACTTTATTTTGCCCCCCCCATTCCCCAATACCCCAGCTCAGGCAGTTTGGCCTCTCTGTGGCCCTACTTGGGCAGGGGCAGGGTATCCTGGCCTCCCGATTAGTGGCTGTGGCCGTGGCCGTGGCCACCATGGCTGTGGCCACCGTGGCTATGGCAGTGGTCCTGGCCACCTTCCCCAAAGCCTGGCCCGTGGCTGTGGCCTTCTCCTTCAGGGGCGGTTTTGTGCATCTCTTCGTGGGAGGCTAACGTCAGCCTACCCACTAGGATGGAGAACTCCTCGAAGTCCAGCTCCTTGTCTCCATTTGTGTCCAGGTCCTCCATGATCTTGTTTATGGCATAGTCATTCTTCTTCTGCCTCTGTGGGTGGGGGCAACAGGGCAGTTAGGGCTGGGTGTAGCCAGCGCTGGGGACAGGGAGTTCAGCCAAGGACCGCAGGCAAAGGCACAGGGAAACCTGGCTCCTAGGCCTCAGTTAAACAATTAAAAATGACCATTGACTGATGCCCACAGTCTAGCAGATGCTGAACATGTGCTAGACGCTTGCTGATTTATTCTGGATATAACCTGACCACTACGATTCTCTCCATTTTACAAGAGAGGAACTGAGATCAAGTGACTTGCTTGAGGTCACATAATTAGTATGTACAGAAATGTCACCTCATTTGGTGTTTAAAACAAGCCTAACAGGTAGACTTGGGTATCTTCCTTGAGGAAATTGTCTCAGGAAAGGGGAACCTCATGCAGATTGACAAGGCTTGGGACCGGGAGAGTGGACATGAGCCCGGGCTTGTCCCAGCCCTTCCACCTGTCTGTTCTGCTCCCTCCCCTTCTCCAGCCTCTCCCTTCCCTCTCTAGGCTACTCACTGGTGACACTCATTCCAACCTACAGAGGGGGGACTCATCTGAGGAGAACAAGATGGTTGGTATCTTGTGTGGGACTAGAGAGCAAGGTATGTTCTCCATTGACCCCAAAGGGTGTGATGAAGTGTGCTGGGGGGAGGACAGGAGGTGGAGGGTCCGGGCTACAGTTGGTCCCACCCACTGGCTGGGGAGGCTCGGCTGAGTCTCCTCCCCAGACACTGTGGGTGCCCAGATCAGCCCCCAGGCCCTTCCCACTCCTGCAGCGCCTCGCCACAGCCTTCTCTTCTGCACTTTTCCTCCTGTCCCTGGGCAGAGTCACTCTGGAGCGTCTGCTTGGCAGGGTCTCAGCTTCCCCTGCTGGACAAGGGAGGTGGGTGGCGGGGCAGGTGTAGGAGTCACACCCAGGAGAACCTCTGCCCACTAGCTCTTGGCTGTACCCTCTCCAGTCTGTCCTGATCCAGCACCCTGCTTCCCCGTGTCTGCACCAGTGGAGAGCTGTCAGCGTCCCCCCTGTGTCGCCTACTGAGCTGCGTGGGGCTTCGGAGAGGGCTGCCCCCTGCCCCAGGAATGGAACTGAGACTGGGACTCAGGCACCTCACTCTTCTTAGTCCAGGCTTCTGTTTCCCCAAAGTCCCCAAACTTGTAAAGAAAACTGAAAGAGCAGATGGAACCAATCCTCCTTTTTTTTTTTCTTCCCCCTAGAACTGCCTGGTCACTTGCAGATCAGGGAAATAAGCTAATTATGTTACTGAGTGTTTTGTGCACGCCACTGCTCGACAGGGTGCTTTTCTACATCCGGTGCATGTATTTCCTACTCTGGACCCTTAGGGTTAGGGAGCCCCTCAGCCTTTGCACTCTGAGACCTAGCTGAGGGTCAGTGTCCTCTCTGCTTCTGCCGCGGGTCATCCTCAGTTGCTTCCCTCCCCAGTTCAGGTGTCAGCTCAAAAAGTCACCTCCTTGTCCACCCAACCAGTGGACAGCTGTCCCCACCCAGCCCAAATCTCCCCCAGCGCTCTCTCTTATGTGTCCTTTGGGGCACTAACGGGCATTGGATTTATCTGTGCTCCCTGTTGGCCAACATCTTTGCTGTGTGTCCCAACAGCGGGTCCCTGTTTGTCACTACGCACTCCTGCCCAGGACGGGGTCCCGCACACAGCATACACCGCCCGTCAGTCTGCTCTCTAACTTGGAGCAACTCCAGTGACACGGTGCCCGGTGCCTCTGGAGGCTGGGCTGAAGGAGTTGGAATTTCCTCCTTGGCCACTGCAGAGTGCACCCCCATGCCCCAGCCTTAGGCCGGACTGCCCCTGGTTGCGCCAGGCCTGCCAGGGGCCTCTGCCTACCTTGAGGAAGTTTGGCAGCTCCTTTTTCACGAGCTGTTTCAGTTCTTTCTGGTTGAGTTTGTCCGGGTGCTGCAGCCGCACAGAGTACTGGTGGAAGATGTTGATGATGGTCTCGATGCTGCATTCCAGCTGTGACATCTGGTCCGCCATCTTGCTGCACTCTGTCTGAGGAGTGGAGAAGCGAGGGTTTGGGTGTTTAGAAGAAGAGGCTGCTGAGCTCCCCTGACACCTCCCAACAGCTGCACGTAGGAACAACAGGGGAAACACAGAAGGAAAAGAAGAGCAGGGCATTTGAGCACAAGAGGCTACAGCACAATATAATTCCAGAAAGTGTGAGGGAATTTTTAAGTGGGTGGGTCAGTCGAGGAGGGCTTCCAGGAGGAGGCCTTGGAGGAGGCCTGTCGTGGCAGGGAGGTGAAGAAGGAGTCGGGGTGTGTGTTGGGGAAGCTGGGAGCTCACTTACCCAAGTCAAGGAGCCACACAGAGGGATTTGACAGTACCGTGTGTGTCCAACATTTATAGGCAGCTTCTGGCCAGATACTCAGCTCTCGTGGGAAGATTGCTTCACAGGTGAGCAGTGTGGTAACCCTGAGCTGGACTATCAGTGCCAGGAAATGGGCTGGGGCGGGACAGGAAATGTTCACAAAGCTCTTTTGGCCTTTTTGTGAAATGCCCAGCCCTGGGCCTGGAGCTGGTTTGGGAGGAAGCTGGCTGGGTAGCTCACTTCCTTTCCACTCCAACCCCCTGCCCTACCTGAGCAAGCCAGCTGCCTCTCCCCTGGCAGCCCTCACTCTCCCCCTGCTCCCGTTGACGTTGGGTCAGTCAGTGGCTGCTGGCTCTGCCTCCCCCATGCGTGCAGCCCAGCAAGGCTGGCTGAGCCTTCCTATGTCTGCCTGGCTCTTGTGATAAGCACTCCTCGGAGGCTGAGGTGTTGGCATGGGGTTCTTGGACTCACAGGGTGTGAGTTGGGGTTAGGAGGGTTGTTGGAAGTGCTCCACCCCCTTGTATTGCAGATAAAGGAACTGATGCCCGAGAGGGGCCTGCGTGGTGACATAGCAGGAACTGGGCCCACACATTCTGGTTCTTGGTTAAGGGTAATTCCGCTCACACCTCCCTCTTGCGATCTGAGTGATCCTCAGGGTGAATGTGTCTCTAGAACCGTGCCTTTAGGAACTTAACAACGTAGAAGACAAGTATTTTTATGTAGCTTCTTGTTGGGCAAGACCTGTCCCTCCCTGGCTACAAAGCTCCCTTTCTGCCCGGGGCAGAAAGCTGAGCTGCTTAGCACAGCACACAAAGCTCCCTAGAATCACCTGCCCTGTCCCCTCAGCCTCCCCTCCTGTCCCCCTCCAGCTCCTCCCCTGGGGTCACAGGAGGCCCACCTGCCCCGTGCACCCCAGGCCTTTGTCTTTGGTGCTCTCACCGAGTTCCCTTCACCCATGACAGGGTGCAGTCGTACCGACCCCTTGTGGCTCAGGTCAGATGCCACCTCATCCACGAGCCTGCTGTGTTCTTTCTGATTGGAAACAACTGTTCTTCCCCCAGATTGCTCCTGCACCACTTCTGGCTCCCAACGCTTCCTCTCCTAGGTCGTGTACATGTTCAGCCTGTGTCTGACAACTGTCTGTAGATCCGCAAGGGAAGTTCTTCACGTTCCTACCCACCTGAGCACGCAATCCAGGGCTTGGCAGATGGGAGACCTCACATTTGGTGAAGGATCATGTCTAGGCGTGGCAGTCTTGCTACGCCTCGACCCAGGAAGCATGTGTGGAGGGCTTAACGATGGGTGCTGTCCCTTAAGCTCTTGCTCTGTCCGACCTTTCCTGTATCTGGCTTGCCTGCTCTGCTCTGCTTGGCTCCTCAAGGCAGGGACGCTGTGTGAGTCACTTCTGCCGTCCTAGGTCAAAGAAAGGGCCTGGCTATGTAGGCGCTGGATGAACATTTGTTGGATGAATAAATGCAGGAGTGCACGCATAAATGAAGACATGAGTAAGCATGACGATGAACACCGGTCTGTTGCCCCGCGACTTTCTGTAGAGCCCTTGTCTGTGACCGTAGAGTGTCGAGTCAGGATTTAAGTAAAATGGGGGAGGTGGAGAACAGGACCAGCAGCTGGTGGGAGCGAGCAGCTGGACAGGCTTTGAAACAGATGGGAGTCTGCACCGGTGGATTGCATGTTGGCAGTGGGTTTCCTTGAATCGGAAGACCGCAGTGGCCCCATGGTCCCGGGCTAGCCCCAGCTCAGGAGAGGCTAGGGCTGAGCTGTGGAGGCCCTGACACAGGCAGGCTCTTTCTGGCTCCATCAGTCGCTGCCCCAACACCACCTATCCTCCTCACTGCCAACCAAGGCCAGAGGTTGGGCTGTGGGGTGGTGGGTAGTGGGGTGTTGTCCTTGGGGAGTCTCAGAGCCTCCTGCTAGGGCATGATTTGGGGCCATTCTTCTGGTTCCAGACAGTGATTCTGGAGGCTGCCATTGAAAGAAAAGGGTATGATTTCCTCAGCTGTGCTTAAAACTATTAAGCAACCATGTAAGCATGTCTTTCTTCCCAGTGCCCGGGACCAAGGGTGGGCCAAATCCCCCTTCTCTGCAGCCTTCCTGTTGTCGTCCCTCAGGGAACTTTGTCCCTTCTAAGTTGTCAATATCAAACCAGGTATTATAATGGGGCTGTAACACAGGCACACTGGTGGACCTTCCCCAGGCTCTGTGTCCTTCAGCCTTCAGGATCCTGGGTGAGAGCTCACGGCTGAGTGAGGGGCCGAGAGCTGGATTCTAGTCCTAGCTTCTCCAGACTTGCTAGATGGGCTTTGGAAAAAATTTCTATGTCTGGGACTCCCTTTTCTTATTCATTAAGTGAGGAGGTTGGTTCAGCCGGCCTTTAGGTCATTTCTAGCATTGACTCCAAGTTTCGATGCAGTCTTGGTGGGCTCCAGGAATACCACAAGCCTCATGGCCTCAGGGCCCTGTCTGATCCCCACTTTTCTGTTGCTACCCTGCAGATGAAGTCAGGTTCCCCCTCCCAACGAAGCAGCTTGAGTCTGGGCCCAGTCCTTTCCAGGCTACAACCTGCTGGCCTTTCCCCTCCACACCCATATCCCCCATGCCCTTGCCCGCTTGCTGCCCTTCCCCTATACGCACTCCCTCCACACCCTCCCTTCCCCCTTGCCTCTGTCCCAGCCCAAGACTTCCAGATGGTCTTCCATGGAGATTTCACCTTGGCATCCCCTGGCTCCCACTGCTCATTCTGTGTATATCAGGGTGGACGTGGGTAACTTCGACCACTTCCTGCACCTTTGGGCTCAGTCTACACCAAGCTTTGACTGCTGCTTGTGTTCTTCACTGATGGCTTGTCTTGAGGTCCCTGAGACACCCTGTCCCCTGCCATACTGCTCCGGCGTCCACAGTGTGGCCCCTCCAGGAAGCCGACTTCTTAGATCCTCCACCTGCAGCGTTCCCAAGTCCAGTCACTGCCCCCTGACTCCACCTCAGCTTTCCTCCCTCATAACCATCATGATTTCTGGGAAACTCTACCTTCTAAGTGGAAAAATCTGGTGGTTCCTTTTCTGTTTGTGCCTTCTGTTTTTCCAGTTCTTCCTCCTCTCCTATCTCTTGTGGAACCACTATGTCCTTGAGGTTCCAGATCCTTCCACAAATTCCTGGCTATTATCTCAGTATGTCCCTGTTGGCTTCCTCTGCCTGTCAGGAATGCCTTGGAAGTATGCAGCCCTTTATGGAAAGTAAAGGGCTTTCACATGCATTACCATGTTGGCGTTTTAAGTACTGGCCTACGTGGCCGCCCCAGTCGTGTTTAACTGCTTGAAAGAGGGTGTTCTCATGTTTGCTCCTTCCTGGATGATAAGTTGGGCGTGGGAGAGACATCTGATAACCATTTGCAGAATCATATGAGTGACTGACTTGGTTTTGGTGGAACCTATGCTTAAAAGTTATTTCCTGTAATTAAGAAGTTGTGCAGGAGGGAGAATGCAGAGAAGAAAACAAAGGAGGTGGGGAGGAGTGATGGAAGCAGGGCGTGGGAAAAGTCCCCTCGGGAATAGCAAGGTGTGTGCTGCCGCCTGGTGGTAGGCCTGCATCAGGACAGCCCTTGGCTAGGGTTAGGGTTAGGGTTTGGGTTAGGTTTAGGGGTTAGCTAGGTTTAATTGCTTTTTTATAAAAGATGTCAATGCTTAAATAAGACATTTTCTTAGAGTATTTTGCAGTGAGTAAAGGTTAGCATGTATCCAAAATCGTTAGGGTAGAAGTACCAAATATTCCAAAGCAACACCTCAGTCAAAATATCTTGACGGTTATGATTTATTGTCTAAATAATTGAAAATATAGTTGCTTTTTCACTCTTCTCACACTTCAATTCGCTGGCCCCTTCTTTCTGGTCTTGGCTGAAAAGCATCTTCTCAGTTGGCTTCCTTAATGGGCCTCTCTGAATATGATGGTCCCCTTAGTCATCACAGTTCTCCGTGTAGCCTGCATTCCTTCCTACCATCGATCCATGTATTATATCCCACGCTGTTTACAAGCTCCTAGGTAGGACTGGAGCTATACATTTGCAGTAAGGAGATAATAAATATTTATTAATTGAACAAGTATGACTTTTTTTTAATTAAAAATATCAATGTTTTATCTGTGATTTTTTTACCTTTTCAGAACATATTTGGAGAAATCCATTGCTCCATGAATATTACATCTGTCAGTGCTGTGGCTTTGTTATGTCTCGTGTTGTGCTACCCTGAGCTGCCAGGAGTGCCCATGAGCCATGTATGAAGGCCAGCTTCAAACCTTAGGGGTGAGTTCTATGGAGGCTCGGGGGGGCTTTTGTGGGGCTTGTCCTGCTGGACACCACTGTGTCATATGGGGCCAGAAGTGAAGTCAGCACCCAGTTCTTTCCCTAGCTTTTTCCATCTTCCTCTACCCTCTGTCCGTGTGTGGGTTTCCCACCAACCATATCTCTGCAGACAAACTCTGAGATGGCCTATTGTCTGGGACTCCATTGGCATCACAAAGTCTCATTATAACCAGTGTAAGAGGTTTCTGTGACACTGACATGATCTTCATTCCAGAATATGCCCCGTGAAGAGTCAGATGAGATCCTGGGAGTCCAGAAGAGTTAAATGGATGATTGTGCCTCTAGCTAAAGCTACCCTGGGGGA